AGGAAGGGTAATGGTCCCTAAATGCTATGCCTGGCTTTCTGCCTGCTACCATTCTGACAGTGCTGCAAATAAACTAGCAGTTTAAATCTATAAATACTTACAGATTATGCTGGAGCTGTAACTTACACGTTCAGAAATGCCTAAAGTCTTTGAACAGAACATTTTAACAGGAGAAAGGAACTTGTACTTTGAAATAAAACAGGTTTTTCTGAAAATACTCTTTGACATAATTTTGCTAAATCTCTGCTTTTCATTTTATAGTTTTTCTCTGTTTCCTTCCTCTATTGCACGCCACCTGCAAATAAATGAGTAAAATTGCCTGAGCTTCATTTAATCTTATACTACTAGGAGAATTGAATTCCATCATGCTTCTGGAAGTAACAGAGCTATTTTTAGTGTAATGGTAATATATATTGTCATTTGTAGTGTCATTTGGCAATGACATTTTTATTTCTATAAAACATGTTAAAAAGCTTATGGCAAATCATTCTTTGCTGACTGTATGTTATAATGCAATACAGCAACAATACGATGTAGTAAACAGTGTAGTAAAAAGTTCTTGGTATGAATCTGTGTTTGAGTTTATTGCATTACAAACTCCATCCTGCTGACAATGCCACTGATGAATGCTTTGCTATTGGTTACACTGGAAACCTCAGCGTGCCTGAAAGTTGACTAACACACACAAATACTGACTTACACAGACCATTTCTGATCAAGGACAGTAAAATGAAGTCTCTGGTTTATGCTACTTATATATGTGATCAAAAAMCATTTTCAGAATGCTGGGTTTTACGTCTCGTAGATTTTTAAGCTGATTTAAATAGATTTTTTAGGAATATTATGGTGGCCATCTCAGAGTTATTCCATTGAAGAGTCTTGTAAATGGATAAAAATAACCAGAGAGAAGTCTTAAAAGAGGGTGGAAATTCCTAGAAGTAATGAGAAGTGAGGAAAGTACATCTAACATAAAACTGATTAAAAAAGCAAATTCAAGGGAATTACTCTAAGCAGCAGCGCAAACATTTAATGGTACAGATTAAAATGTTCACATTTTTATAAATCATCCAAGGATTGCTCTTTATTTTATTTGTGATGAAATGAAATCCGAAGCAAGGCTCTACAGCCAGAACAAACACGGATGGATGTGGGGCACACCCTCAGTCCTCCCACGGTGCCAGAGGCTCTGGAGGTGAGGTAATGCCAGCCCTGACTGACGTTTCTCCTGCCTCMCCAACAACCTGACCCAATGTTGTCTCTGGAACAGGTCTGAGAGTGACTTTCAGGCTACATATGTACTAGAAAATTTTCTGAAGATTGCTCTTCTGACCGAAGGCCATCTGTCACAGAAGTGTTACTGTAAGGCCAAAATTCTCACCACATCTCTCGTTCTCCAGTATGGGATTGATGCCTGGACTAGACAAAACACCAGGAACGGTYTTTGACCACAATCTGAATTGGACAGGGCATTTTTTTAGGAGAACATTAGCTGGTGAGAACAAAACTACAAGAAGAAGCTAACAGATCTGTGTGCTAGCCCTGATCAGGGCAGACATAGATTCTATATCCCACAATGATCAATGATCAGGGAACACACAGATTATCAAACAAAAACATATGGCCCAACATTCTCTCTGTGTCAGCTCTGTAAATTCCTTAGATGAAACTTCATGAAACTTCCAGGAAACATGATGGAAAGGCATCTTTGCAGGAAGCAGAGTGGGTCTCTCCCAAAAAGGAAAAAAAGACCCTGGTGTAATGGCAGGATACAAATTAAAACTATCAAGTACACCTCATTCCACCTGCACAGGCAGCTGAAAAAATGCCGATTTTCCTTTGCACTTAGCCAGCTTCGTTTTAAGCAAGCTTTGGAGACAGAACCTGCACTAATTTCAGTGGGCCTTTTGTCTGTGCACGGTATGCAGAACAGAGCCCTCTCCTGGTAAGCGCTGAAGATAATTGAGGACATCCCTGGCACCGTATTTGGCACTGTCTGCAGCACATATCTCTGYGATGAAGTATTGAACGTAGGCACTCAAAATAAAATATTAGAAAAGCTCAGCTATTTGGAGCCATGGAACCTTATGATTGAGGTCAGATTTGTTTGGATTAAAAAATATATGGAAATCCAAGTAACACTGAAATGATGGCATACTTGAAAACTGAAACCAAAAAATAGGTTATATAACGTACTTAAAGGCACAGTTGGCATTTCAAGATCACAATGACTGGCCAGTTGTAACCTGCTTTTGAACCCACAGCTGAACCCTGCATGTTGAATTACTGAAAAGGGTGGGTCACCTTCTTTTTAAACCTGAAATGTGATAACCAGGTCAAAAGAACCCCATTCACTCTTTCTTTTTATGATTATAAAGCCATGAAGCACCAATAATACCTTAAGTATATAGATCAACACTCTTTGCCTAATTAACATGCTTTCGGATTTCATACTTGAACCTGAAAATAAGAAACCATATTTCAAAGCCCTGCTTTTGCAAAACAAATTGCAACAGGTACCTAAGCTGTATGCAGGATTTGGTAGGCACTTCAATAAATCATAATAATGATACATTGCCAGAATARTGGCTTTCCGTCATTAGTTTTAATTTGAATAATTTAAGCATAATCCCTTTGCTTAAACAGCAACAAAATCTTGTCACTGAGATTCAAWGCAAAAAAACATTGGTTTAATTAAAAAAATATTTCTAAATATTCCAAACCCCATTTTGTTTTTAGCAATATATGCAAACATGATTCACTGGAGCCATACCAGTTATGGCTTCAATCTCATTAGCTTTAACAAGGAAAGTAGGGTTGGGTCTGTAGTATTTACATGGAAGACTTCTAAGGAAATTCCAGGTTACTCTATGAAATGTTATTTGTGCATGGTGACATTTGTCTGCTGACGCAATATTGAACAAGCATAAAGAATATGATCACAAGTGCTGACTTTAATTAAGAGGTAAAACCAAGGATACCAAGCACTTGTGGGCATTAAACACCCCATGGTAGTTTTTGCCAGTGTAGGAGTGCCTGGCCAAATACCAGTCCTGATAATTACATCCTGCCTACTTACATTCCCATGTTGCTTTAAATGGAGTAGGTATTATTCTTCTATTCTGGTGTAAAAGTGGATCCTGCAGCCCATCCTTGGGCTCTGTTAGGACTATTTCTAGCATGACCTTCTCCATGATCACACAGAGCCATTTATGTGAACCAGTGCATTGTACTACATTTTGGATTTGCCRCCTTCTGAAATCAATTCCACTGAGCTCACTGGAATTCACTTCAGCYCAAAGACATTGACTTAACCAAAATCATAATTTAATTCCTGCCTGTGAAAGTCATATTTACAATAAATCCCTGCAAAAAAATTGTTTGATTATCAGATCAGTTTCTGTAGGGCTCCCTTCATTACATGTGACACTCATCAGTTTTGGCACGACCCAAAATCAACAGCAAAACAGCAGAATGGTTCAGTGGCATCAAGACCAGGCCCCTTACTGGGAGACTTGCCTTGGGATGATACCATGTACCACCACTTAGGCCTCCCATATCTCTGCAGTTTGAAGCAAATTACATTGAACAAAGATACAGATGATCTGTTCAAGTCAGCTGTATATTTTAAGAGAGAGCACAGCAGATGGTTAAGAGCTTGCTATAAACTGAAATGTCTGTGATAACAACCAGCGTTACTACGGGACTCTTCCCCACAACAGGAACTTGCTTCATTGAAGTGGAAGGAAACCAGACTTCAGAAAACCTTCATCATCATATTTGAGTACCTCACATTAGATCTCTGCTGCCATTCACAAAAGTCCCCTTTGAAACAAACAAGTTAGCATGTTTCCCCCCAGGAGGAGCCTGTTTAGCAAGATGGGTGCTGGCATTAGTCACAACGTAGTCTGTGGCAGGGTTGTCCATCACAATTMTTCCTACAAATCTGAGTTTTCTCGCATTAYAGTTACTCTCTAAACTCTGATTTTCAAAATTAATTTTGTACTTCTGGCTTGTCCTACACTACGTCATTTTGGAGGCTGGCTTTTGGAGGCTTTTTTAGTTTAAAAGTTTTTCTAGCTCTATTTGTGTCGGTCAAGARTTTTCCAAGTCTGTTCTCTTTCTGAGTGGCGACTCTCCCAAGACAGCAAAAMCAGGATTTTTATAGATTTGTTTTCATGAAGATTAAGTCATCTGAAGTCTGATATTATTTAGGAGAAAGATGACCATGTTAGTACAATTCATTGAATGCAAATCATGAAATTAGAAAACTTGAGTAAAATTGAATAGCTTTAATCACCAAATGCAAAGTGAGAAAAGGGAAGGTGAGAAAGTATCTTCACAAACCCATACCTTCCCCCCCCCCCCCCCATTTCATATGGCTTGCTGACCTCAAAAGCTTCTAACATTCATTATTTCTGAAACCCAAGACTTTTCTCTCTCATCTTTCTCCAAATATAGGGCCTAACTTTTGCTTCCTCTTTTAGATTTTTGACTTGGACCCTTTGGAAAGTGAAGTTAACTTGACAGGAAGAGGGTGATGCAGCTGGTTGAACAAGAGCCACTGAGTGAAAGAATAATCAGAATATAACAGAAGGTGAAGGGTAAGACTATGAAATGTGACTAAGCAATTAGGGATTTTCTTCCGTTTTCCTACACAAAGGAGCAAAAAGGACCAAATGCAGCTGCTGAATTTCTTGCAGAGAGGAGCATTAAGTTTCAGAGCAGGAAAGGACTTTGCTTTCATCCACACTGACCAGCTTGAGAGAAAGGAGACAAATGTATTCTACAAAAGGGTATGCCAACCATTCCTGTCGTGTAGCACTTTGTCATACTTGGTCRTTCAAACTCAGGATTAATTTATGGTGTTGGTGTCTTCTAGAAAAAACAAAGGGAAATAGTGAAGTGCGGAGCTCACTACCTGTACCCCGCTGGATTGGCATTGATCGCCTCTTGCACTTCAGGGCCCTCTCCTTTGCTCCCATCACTGCTGACTGCACATGTCAGGGAGCTGAGAAGCCTGAAGGTCCAGGCCCCGGGTTGTGAGGCCGAGGACAGCGGGAGGAACACTCTGGAGCTGTGTGGGGCCGGGTCAGCCGCCGCTCGGTGCCCGCCGCGGTGTGCCGGGCCCGGGGCAGCGCCGGTGCCGGCGGGCTCAGCAGGGCCGAGCGAGGCTGAGGGGGCCGAGCGGGGCTCAACGGGGCCGAGCGGGGCTGAGGGCGGCCGAGCGGGGCTGAGGGCGGCCGAGCGGGGCTGAGGGCGGCCGAGCGGGCAGCGGAGGGTGGGCAGCGGGTCCGCAGTGCCCGAGGGGCCGGCAGGGGAGCAGCCCTGCGGCAGCTCCCGGCACAAGTGCGGAGCGGCGCCCCGGGACTGCGCTGGCCCCCGGCTCCTCGCCCCTTACCTCCGCGCTCCCGGGACGGCCTTTTTGGGCGGGAGGGCGGGAGTGGGTTACCTTTTCTTAGGGAAGTCCCGTTCCTTGGCAGGGAAACTTTTTACGTTCCTGTGCGTGAGAGGTAACTAGTTGCACTCACTTTAGGGCGAGGAGTGTTTGGCTTCTCCCGAACCAGCCTCCTCCTCCATCTACCCCCCCCCCCCCCCCCCCCCCCCCCCCCCCCCCCGAATTTCCCCTCCCGTTTTGCTCCCAGTTGCGCTTTATTTGTGTGTGGAGAAAGGCCGGGGGGACTTGTAGAGGGGATGCTCTGTTTTTTGCCAGAGCAGCAGTGCAAAAGGGGAACCTCGGCTCGGAGAAGGTACGAGAATAAATAAATAAGGAGCGGCCCTAAWATAAAGGTAGCGGCATATCCCAGCAGCGAGAAGGTGAGTGTCTCCGACTTCCCCGTCCCCGCGTCTCCCTCCCACCCCTTCTGCTCGGAGGTGGAGGAAACGGGCTCCCTGCCGCATGTGCATGTGTCCGTGGAGGAGGTGTGTGCGTSTTGCTTGCATTTAGCGTTTATTTAGCACTGTTTTCGTGTCGGTTCGATGACAACAACAATAACAACAACAACAACAAAGTTGCTGTAAAACAAATGTGATAGGAGGGAACAGCGGAGCCGTCCGTGGCGGGATAGAGACGAGCTCTCACGCCCCGGCTCCACGCGAGTTTAATTGCAAAAATCCCCAACTGGTCTCCCGTGCGGACGGGGGGACTTTTGCCACGCCCGGCCGGACTTTTTACCTCTCTCCAGGTGACAGTCCCTGCCGTTTTGCCCTGACCGCTCTTCGGGTGTATGTTACCGGGGTTGCTGGGTTAAGCCCTAGGACAGAAGCAAGCCGCGACGGCTGCCGTCGCATTGTTCCCCGCTTGCGCCTCCCGCCCACTCCCGGTGCCGCGGGAACGGGGGGCCCGGGCTGCGCCCCGAGAGCAGCCGGGGGCTGCCGGCCTGTCTGGGGTGGGTCAGAGGCTCTGCCGGCCGCCGGGTCACTCTGCCGATCGCCTGCCCCTGCGAGGGCCCGCGGCGGAGCCAGCGGAGGCTTGACCGGAGGCTGAGAGGAAACATTTCTGGCGGCTCGGGTCGCCTCCGGCCAGAACGGCATGAAAACACGCAGGGATAGTAGTGCCTCCCCGAAGCCCCCGTTCTTCCAGCGAGGGTCCGGGCAGCGCGGGGCGAGGCAGCCCGGCCGGGACGCGCAGGCACGGGCGGCAGCAAGAGAGGACTCGCTCGGTTCCGCCGCCCGCCCTCGGCCCCGCGCTGCCCCAGCACCGGCAGCGCTCGGGGGCTCCGCTGCCCGCCTGCCTCGGGGCGGAGCGCTGCGGCCGTGCCGCGGTCGGGGTGCCGGCGGATGGGGCAGGCTGCCTCCCGCTGCCTCCTGGCCGGCAGCCGCTGCGGGGCTCCGGCGGCCGCTTTTCCCAGTGTCCGACGGGAGCGGGGACAGAGCTGCCCGTTGTTTTTGTTCCTCTCCGTTTCCTCTCCCTGAGGGTTGTCTCTTGCCCTTCCCCTCCCCCGCCCCGGCTTGTTTTTCTTGTGGTTTAAAGACAAAACGGTGCGATTTCGGGTCGTCACACCGCGCCCCCGCCCCCGGCGCGGGTTCCCGCTGCGCCGGCGGACGGGGTACGGGGAAGCCCAGGCGCGGGCGTCTCGCCGCCCTTTCCACCGGCGATGCGGGGTCTTGTGTTTTGGTTAGAAAGCGTTTCCACGTGGGTAAGGCTTGTGTGTGTGTGTGTGCGTGTGCGGGTGTGCGCGCGTACTTGATCTGCGAGGAGGTAACAGGATTCTCCGTGTTCAAACCCAGTGGGCTCTTAGCCATTAATTTCCTTCTCCTGCTGTCATTACAGACATTTCCAAAATCAGATAGCCGCGGAGAACCGCCAGCCGGGTTTCACACGGCGGTTGTCCCCGAGCCGCGGCGGCTCCGCGCCGTGTCCGCCCGGAGGGTGCTCCGGGGCCGCGCCCGACCCCACCGGCGGGGGAGCAGCCCCGCGGCGCCTTCCGCCGGGAAGGGAGAGCGGGATGCCACGGCATCGCCGCTGCCAATCGGTAGTTGGCATCTAAAGTTTCATTTACATTTATGAAACTGCCGTTCCGGGCCAAGCAGCCGCGGTGYTGCCGGATCCCTCCGTGCCCGCGGGCAGGGCTTGCAGCCGAGCACACGGAGRGACACGCTCGGCTCTCGCGTGGCGGTGCGAAATAGCCGGTATTTACAAAAATCCTGGGAGGCACGCTGTACCAGACAAGGGAGCGCCTTGGCCGGTTCCAGCTTAATTATGAAGTCACGCTAGAACAGTAAGGAACCAGTATTTACAGTTTTCTGAGTTTTGTTTTACGTGTTTCGCTTGCGGAGACTAGCAAGAATATCTAAGATAAACTAATCAACAGTTTAGATTTAGAGGGAATTATACAAAGAAGGCATCTTTTCTGTTTGGCAAATAGGTTTTCTGGTCTGACCTAAGTGTTTGATGTTTGAAGCATCTACTTTGCTTTAAAGCTCAGGCCATATCTTTATTTCATTTCCTTAACGCTCAAAAGAAAAGTTTCGCAAAATTAYTGAGAGTTTGACTTTTTCTCCTAGTATTTCTGAAAATGTTGTCGAATAACAAATGATTGCATACTTGTAGTATATATCGTACTGTGAGTAAAGTGGAAATACAGACTGACATTTCTCTCTTTCCTGTGATTCTTTCTCTGTTTGACATTTAGCAATAGCTGGGATATATCCGAAACAACTCTTTTTGCTTTCTTTTGAAAATGGTCATATTTATGTTACCAAATGTTCTTCAACCAAATTTAATAGAAATGAGAGTGGAATATGCTGACTAATCTTTTATGTATCTTTGTTCACATAATTTGCATGCAGTTACTGTTACATGTATATGATGTTACTGATAATAAATTTGGTTGAAGGTTACCCTCCCTGCCTTTGTAGTTWTTAATGGCTTCAGAACACTTTGCAGTATAATTTATTYTCTRTGGATAATGTCAATGGAATAAATAAATTCTAAACAAGCARTGTATTGAGTAAGACACCCGTGGGTTCTCAGTTAATTGCAGTTCCCAGTTAAAATATTTCAAACAAGGCAACTGTAGAAATACAGCTATAGATAGTATCATGTGGCATATTTTTAGCGTCTGATGCAAGTGTYAAAGTTTAACTCTTTAAACTTTATGCAAGTTTTACTTTTGAGTCCCAGAATTGATGTTAAACACAGGCATTTGGTGTGGGAAAGGTACCTGTCTGTTTCCTTGATGAACTGGTGATATTGGACAATGTTGCGTGCAATCCTCCACTTTTGAAACTACTTTTTCCTCTCCTAAATACAAAAGTTACTACAGAAAGAAAAAAGAAGGTCCTGGAATTTCTGTCAAACGCTGTAGGACACAGCTATTCATTTTTTCTGTGTTATCTTTTTCTTCTTGAAAGTAGGGATTTTATGAACTCAGGGTAAAGCAGGTCTCCCTTTTTATAAGGGGAGTTTATTCAGCATACTTCTATATTGCAGCTGCTGATCATATTTCATAGAGCTGTTAAAGCACTTAAAACCTAAAATTAGGTACTGTCTGGTAGTAAATATTTCAAATCACTCCTTAAAGAAACGGGCTTAAAAAAAGAGACGTTTTGAAATATATCRCTAAGGAAAAGTAATCTTGCCTTGCTTCTGCTCAGTGCAATTCCAATCTAAATCACCAATTTCAACACAGTGTACTTTTTCCTTAGTTTGCCTTAATCTCCTGGATTTTTATTGTGATTTTATACTGTCTTTATTTGATGTCATAAGCAGCTATTTTGCTCAAGCTATGTTTACGACAGCAACGCTTGAATTAACAGGTGTCGAATTAACTTCTAACATACCTGTACTTCCAGTGAGTATTCTTTGTGATAGTAAGAACTGAAATGTAATTTTCCTCACTTCCTGGTGTGCATGTTTCTGGATGGCTGTTTGTTGCAGAGGGTGTACACTTGTTTTTTTCCAGATTTAGGATGAGTTAATTTACAGATGAGTATTTTCAAGTTGGGGGTGGGGTTAGATTTGGTTCTTAGTTGAACATTGGGATAGGTTTAGTTGCTCACGAGCTTTTATTTTTGATATTGTCAGGGTTTGCAGGAAAAATGCAAACACAGGGGCATCAGACTAACAGACATCTGTCAAGCTGGTTAAATATTTTTAAAGCTTTTTGGAAGTTCAGTGCTAAACCTGCTAATGTCTGCTAGCAGAAACACTTAGGTGTCTTTGGTTATTTTTCTTTGTACTTAAGAATCCAATAGTATTTTTGCTATCTAATTTATCTGTAATCTTCTTGACGTTTTGTGTTAAAATGGCATTTATGGTATGCAACTGGGAGAAAAGTGTTGATACTCAGTCCATGATCAAGAGGTTTACAATTATGCCTAATATGTGCTATTTTTCTTTTCTGGATTTAAATATTGTGTAAATGTGTGTCCAACTTAACCTTTTTCTGTCATTGAAAAGYGCTAATTGATCTTGCTGACCCTGACATAATAGTATAGTTTGATATTTGAAACCCTTCAGCTTTGGCATGGCCCTTCTATCACCCCTGAGACTTCAGGGCATGATTCTACTGAAGGCATAAACTGCTACTCTTTGAAAAATTAAATAAAGATGGTTATTAAAAAGAAATKATGTCTTTTAAAGTCAGTAGATATTTTACCTATCAAAGATCCAAGGCTTTGCAATATACATTAAAAACTTTCTGCTTGTACGTATTTGGTGGCCTTTTAGATGTTGCTGTACAGAAATCAGATTTTTATGAAATAATTTTTTTGGCCAATTCCATGCTTGCAGTGTTTCAGTGTTATTAAATYTGTCATTAAATCAGAAGTGGTTAAAGGAACTTGGATGTGCTTTGCAGTGCAAAAGCTCAGATAAGAAGAGTGCTTATGTGTCAAATAAAAGCTATAACCTATTTGAAAAGGCAATAAAACTCACATTCTTAGTCCGTATTGTAGTTTGCAATGCTGCCAGAAGGATTGCTTTTGGGATGTCTGTAGTACGCTAACGTAAAGCAAAACCTATTCTAAAGCAGTTTCTTCTTTTTGTCTCTAAGCCTGAGAAATAGCTCTCTGCCTTTTTGCTTTAATGTTAAACAGTGAAAATTGTTTTGATTGATTATCCTGTATTGAAACATATCACTGGGCAGGCTCAGTCACAGGATTGTATAGGCTAGCTGTAAGGCTTTTGAGCAAAATGTCAAATGCTAATGGCCRTCTGAGGAGCACTAAAGTTTAAGCATTTTATTTTCAATTTGTTTAAAATTTCCTTATTTCTCCAAGGGAAGATTATAATGACTGATGATTATCTTCAGAACTTCTCACTCCTTACACCAGTGAGACTTTTTTGGCCTTAAGCTGTTAGGCTTAGGGACTAGACACTAAAGTTTGATTAAGGCTGCAATTTCCATGGATTTAAAAAGAAGTTTGGAGGATTTCTGTGCATAAAATCCTTTGGAGATCTATGTCCTTTTCGTAGAACTAACTAATTAAATACTATTACCATAATTTTTCATTAATCATCTGTCTCTATAACTACAGTGGAGGGCAGTTCAGTTGGATGTAATTGAAGTGCTGTCTCTGAAGACCTCAGTCTTTCTGGGCTGACTGAATACTGTCTTCACACTAGGGTTGTGCTGACCTATGCAATTTGACTAAATTGGAGCAGAAAATTGCAAAAAAGACTTCCTAAGGCAACCTGAAAAATACTCACATAGAGAGGACTGATTTTTGTATAGGTATTAGCTTTTTATTTATGTACTTAAGCTCGTATGCACAAGATTTTTTGGCAGTATTAAAATGAACTGCTATTGTGATGTGACCCAGTATAAGCTGACATTCTCAGCAGTGTAAAAAATTACTGCTGCCCTTTTCTTTTTAATTGGGTAGACCAGCGAGTAGCTAGTTTGCTCTTGACATATATATAATTAAACCACAAAAACTTACATTAAAATACCATGAAGGGTCTGATTTAGACCATAAAAGTAAAAGAAACACAGAGCTGAGCTTGCAATTTTTCAAATAATTCTCCTCTATGACTATGTGTATATAACTATTGAAATCAATGCTAGTGCATGAGGTAATTGGAAACTTGACTTGATGTTTTGTGCCAGATCCTTAGCTGTTGCAAATTGGAGTAGGAATGCTGAAATTACTGGAGTGGTCTCACATTATGCCAGATGAGTATCYAGTCCTCTATTCTTAGTTCAGTCCGCTTTTTTTGGTGGGGTATTGCAATATACATTATATGTGTGAGATTGCATGCATAGTGATCCTGCAATATTTAGGGGGGGGGGGGAAAGAGTTACCATAAATGTCCAATTTTTTTTTTCTTCCATTTTAAGGCATATTCATAATTCTATGTTAGAACTTTTTCTTTAGTAGCATTTTATAAATGACCATGGAAATGCCTTTTGCAGTTTTTGTATTCCTAAAAATGAGGCAGTTAGAAATATATTGTCTGTATTCTTTTAATTCTGTTAAGGCAACTTTGTGGCTCAAAGAAATCAGTAATGATGTTGTGCTATTCAGGARCATTTCATGAATACCAACCCTATTCAATGAAAGGCGTGAAGTCCATGTACCATATTAAATCCCATCTGGGTTTTCTTTTTATTTACTGCCATATATTCCCAGAACATCAGTTTACCTAACTCCCAAAAGAGACCAGCTAAACCAGCCTCTGCACAGTTCAGTTTATCCTGACATTGTGCTGTGTGTGAGGTCTTTCTTCCAGCTCTCCCGAGTGTCCCAGCATAGACATGGTTTCACAAAACCAGGCACAGCTCAGCGACATTATGCGC